AAATGATACTTCGAGGGTTTTTGGGGCGGAGAATTCGAATTTGGCATTCATTTGCCTTGAAATACCATTGGTTGAGCAGGGACCAATAGGAATCAAGTTATTGGAAAAACGACTTTCTTAGGGTAAATCAAGGCGAAGAGTTCAAATCTGAGCTGTATTCATCTCCAAATCCTATTGGTTGAGAGTAGCCAATAGAAATCAAGTATTTTACAGAAAAGGTTTGCCAGGATAATTTTGATGTCCACACATTCTAGGATGACTCATCTGTCTCATTCACTTTTTAAAGTACACATAACTCTCGGATTTAAATCCGAGGTTTTCACATTTATTTTACTAAGTTTTTGCACTTTTTATCATAATAGCTTGACATTTCGACGAAAATGCAATGAAACGTAAGAAAGCGCATTGTATCTTGAACTATAGATCTTAAGTCCCTCTATCGAAATCAGAGGTCAAAATCAAAATTTCATCAAGATGTCAGGTCGTTTTCGTGCAGTCTTTTGCATGTTTTTCAAAGATGATTAGTTTCAGAAGGATTTTTTCTTACACATTATCGAAGAAAAAGACGTTCTGATTTCTCTTCCAATTTGTGAAAATCGCAGGTCGCTAGCTGTTGCCGTTCTCGAGTTATTGCGTTTACACCCACCCCTCTTTCATTCTGGTGCGAACATTAATTAGTCATTAGAAATTTAATTTAGACTTTTCACATCGAACTCTAAAAGTCACTTGTCTGGATTCCTTTGAGCCGACTATCAGAAACGCTCGATACCTGGTCACTTGCAGTTCATGCGTTTTTTAGAAAAAACAAGGGGAAACATGATACTTTTGTACTTTAAAATACTCTAGAGTATGTGAAAGTATATGTAGATGAAGTTACCACCAGATTCACGTTTTTCCAGCCCGGATTCGCCGAGAAACTTGTGGAGTTTGGGTGAAGGTGTAGGTAACAATTCAACCTGCAGCCACCCACCCACACCTACACCAACATCCACACCTACACACCCACATCCACTTACACCCCAAAACAAGAGTTTATTTCATATATACATCACGTCATAGCAACAACATCATGCAATTAACTGCAATTTTTCTCTCAACATATGTTATTTTCAGCCTACCATTTCTCATAACGACCGAAGCACCTGAACAGAAAATATCGATCAACATAGAAGTGTGTCTGAGTCAGCAATGAGTAACCTGTGCTATAAGCATCACTGGAGCTCTCTTTAAAATAGTGTCCAATTTGTACGGACGGAAAGATATTCAACCAGTAGACGCTTTCGGATGTAAATGCAATGGAAGGGGAACGGCGAATTTCGGTGTAAACATGTCTCAAGGAGTATTGTGGGACAGTCGTCCAAATTCAAAATCCGCACAGGTGCCATTTAGAAGTCTATGGAAGATTTCATAGCGAAAGCTGGCCAAGCCGGTGCACTCACTCCCCAACATATCGCTTCATACAATTTAGGGCATATGGTGACCACTACCACTGGGACAATTACACCAAGCATACCTGTGGTAGTTGCATGTTCGCCGCATGCATATGCCTGTATAACGAATCAGGCGTGTCAAGCGGTGTCAGTCAGTTTGAAGATGATTAGCATAGTACTATCGCTTTTATTCTTGGCAAAAAACTTGTTTAACTTCTATTATGGCAGTTTGAAATCAATGACAGACTAACTGATATGTTTTCTTTCTTTTATGAAAATATCGGCCGGAAGAAATCAATTGGCAAACTACAGAGTATATCGAAGAAGAGATTTGGATGCAGGAAAATTTAAACTTCTCTTAGGACAAGTACCTATTTTGATAATCATCTCTAATGGCAATTTATTATTGAGCTGAATTGTTTTCAGAAGAGCTAACATTTCAGTTTTCAATAGAGTAGATCGAAATCGGACAGCTGTTTCTGCTAGTGCCAGCAGCTACCGGGACTTATTTTTGCTGGATTTATGGGAACTTTTTAATAAGCCCGTAAGCATTTTGGAATAAATCCCACACTGTTTCACAATACACACAAGGTGTGAGTGAGGGTGCGAATATAGTGGAATAGCATCATCACTAATAAATTCTTAATAAATAAATTCCGTAGAAGAAATAAGTCCCGAAAAAATAAATCCCAGTAGTCCCTCGCGAGTGCGGCATAGGCGTTACTGTTGGTGGGTGTGAGTGAGCAGAAGACGCCCACAGAGGACGTGCGCACCCACACCGACATCCACACTCACACCCCATGCCTACATCCTCAAATCATAGGTTTCGTTTCCTACCAGTCTTATCGTCTTGCCCTTTCCGTACCACTATCATCAAAGTAAAGAAAAGAAAAAAGAAAAAATACACATATAGATGAAAGAATACCACTTCTGTATATATAACAACAAGTTTCTAAAGAAGGTCAATTCTGACCGAAACGTCAACATATAATTAAATATAATATCATATAATTAATTTTATTTTACTCTATTTATAATTTCATTATATATTTTACCATATTGATTATATATTTATGTTTTTTTAATTTTATTAAATAAATTAATTTATATAGGAAGAAAAACAATATTGATACAATTAAAATTAATAATGATTTTCCTTAACTGATCTCAATATCGAATTTTTTTTTCAAACATTTTCCCAATCTACCACTTTCTTGCGATTGATGAAAATTGATTACAATTTCTATTGAATAATAGTTTAAATGTTACTCTTCAAATATACAAAAACAAAAAGTAAAAATAGAATTGCAACTTATAAAAACTCGATCTATAAAATTTTACCAAATTTGTATTAGAATGATAATTGCTACAATTAAATAAACAAAACATCCGATTAAACCTTCTCCATTAATTTTCCATTGTTCCCCAATCATCCATCCTGGTGTATTTGTATAAATTGATCCTAATAGTCGAGGATTAATTTGATTCCAAATGAAATGAATCATTGTAGGCGGTATCATAGAATATTGACATTGAATTGCAATCCATCCATAGAAAAATGCTGAAATCCAACAACTCATACATTGAACAACAATTGTACGAATAGGATATCGAACTTTAGATTGTGAATGATAGCATAATAGAATCATAACAGGCACATGATATAAACCCCATACAAGTCCACTTATATTTAATGCAACTATTGGATGAAAATGAATCAATAAACCAGGTAAGAGATAGGATCGCCATCCTATTTCTTCTCCCATTGCTCGTATCCAACCATATATCAATTTGCTATTGTGTTGATGTACTGATAGAGATTTATCTTTTTTTGAAAAGAATTTACCCCAACCTATTAAATAATTTATCAAACAACAAATAATGATCGTAAAAATAGAAATTAAACTGCCGACTATAGACCAATAGGCGGTCGACCATTGTGGATTAAGTAATAGAAATGAAATAAAACGGATAAGTGAACCGTGATATATATGAATAGATATTGCAAATATGCTTGGAAAGAACATTGCTAAAGCAAGAAATGTAAAAGATCGATGTCGATAAATATAGACCCATAATCCAGTAGCAAATAAATTAAGAAATATATGAGAAAATAAATCAGTAATAGATGATGGAGGATGAAATAAAGAATCAACGGTTTGCATTAAACGCATTTTTAGTCGTGTGAAATATGATCATGCATAAGGTCGACATACGATAACAAAGACATAGACTTTTTTTATCTTTTCCTACGTCATGCTGATGTCTCATTCGTTCTTTTAGTATCAATTGCATGTAACTATACATCTCTTTATTAATGATAAACAAGTTCTTTTTTAAATAATTTAATTGAAAAATTGACTCGGTGTTGTCCTAATAATGTAGAAATTTCTCTTCCTATTTCGAAATAATTTTTTTTTAAATGTAAAAAGAAAACCATAATAACGCAACCATGATGCAAATGTATCTTGCATCTTATGTATGTAATTACATATTGCACTCGACAACGAAATGCCTTTTCATTACCCACACACACGTGTTAGATATAAAGCTGAAGAAAGAAAAAATAAAATACCAAAACAAAACGACTGACGACGCAAATACGGTAGGTGATGGAAGAAAATAATCGTTTTGAACTTCTTACTTTTCTGTCTAACGATGAAGAGTCAGTAGAATCTGCTTTTGTCGACGCGACTTCATTAGATCAAATATCTGAAATAAATAACAAACAACAAATAAAATATTATTGGGATGTACCAGAATACGTCGAGAAACCGATTCCACGTTCATTAATATTCAGCCAACAATTAGAAACACCTCAAACTGTTAAAACAAAAAAGTCTTCATGTTATGTTACAAATACAAAATGTGACGAAAGAAAAGATGAAGTTAAACCTTATCCGACTGTTGAAGTTCAAAATCAACCTACAACTTTTTCATATTATCCTCCTCAACCCTACAAATTCAAGCAAAATTCATCGAGTGAGTAAAATTCAATTTGCCATAATCCATTTCAACTAAAACTCTCTTATAATTAAGTGAAATATTCTTGTAAATTGATTGAACGGATTTGTTTACTGCCTTATTCTAATGATATCAAATAAGTAATAATTTCTTTTTGGATAGATCACTGCAATCGAACTATAACAAAATTTAATGAAAAAATGAACGTTCTACCAAAACATTCTTCTATTCGAGGTAATACAAAAGCATGTACACATAAAATATAATCATTATATCCATCAATTGATTTCATGATTTGTCTTCTTTTTCATCATTTTAATACTTCGAACTATTTTATATCTTATGAATTTATATATTAGAATATTTTATTGACGTGTAATATTTTCACAATATGATTAAATTATTCTTCAATAAATCAAACAAAAAAAAGCTTCTTACATACTACTATAACTGAATCGCGAACTTGAACAATCAACTTCAAGACTCATAACTAGTTTTATTCTCTATAACGCGCATTTATTCATTCTTTTCTTTTCTTTTCTTTTCTTTTCTTTCTTCTAAAGAAAAAATGAAAATATTTAGAAACCAAATAAAACGATACGATTTCAATTTCATCAAATATAAAAAAGTAATGTTTCATTTTTCTATTAATTTCTTCTTTGTTATAAATGATTTATTTTACGAAGATAACAGTAACTTCAATAATTCATGAATATAATCATATGTTATTGAAAAAAACAACAACAACATAATGATTAGAAGCGAGAATATTAACATTCAATATTTATTTTCATCTGCATATTGTTTTTATTATATTTTTATTCCATTCAGTCATTATTTATGAACTAATAAATGACAATATAATAACGCCTCCGATGTATAAGAAGACTACACCAGTATTCATATTTCCATTGCTATTGATTCTCCTATATCAATATCATTATCAAGTATGAGGCACAAAGGAACCAGTTTGATAGCTTCATCATTTCGGAAATTAACATGGAAAATGTGATTGTCCTTATCAAATATAAATTAGATATGATAAGCATTTAAACGATTGTTCGACTGATTATGACTCTATATATTATTAGCATAATCAAGATAAGAAAGATAATTATGTGTGAAAAACTTGAATCAAAATCTCCAATGAATAAATATGTATATGTTCTATGATTGATGAATAGAAAAGTGAAATATTATATAAATTAAGAATATAGTGTTACTGTGCATGAGACTAAGGTAAGTCACTTCGAAATAAAAGCTTGCTAGAGTAGCCCATCTCAGGCTAAAATGTGAAACCCACATGTCTTCGTTAGCTTAATTATACTAGTACCAAATACACATATTATAATATTTCTAAAATAGGATAAATCTTTTTCAACGATGATCGATATTATTAAACGCTCTCTTTTTCATTTCATTTTAAACAAAAATGATTTTTTATTTTATTTTTGACTGGCACATTTTCGTTTATTCGTCTAATTACTATTTGCTTAGTAGTTGTTTTCTTTCTTTTTTGTTTTATTTTCATAATATATTATCATTAGTCTAACCATTGATGTATGTAATGGACAAACAATTGAAAGTAAATTTTCTTTTTATATTAGTCTAATAATATGATTGTCTTAAGAGGAGCACTGTAATTATTCCTGTGTTTGTATACGCATAAACATAACCTGACCCTCAGTGCATTACAAAAAAGAAAATAACAAAAAAGATAAAAATAAAATATAAGTTAAAAAAACGATGAGAGGATTAGGATTCATCTTCAACTACGAGTGCAGCTTCATCGATACAAGTTGCAACAGTACTTGGTTCTGATAAGATATTTGCATCAGGATTCTAAATAAAATAAAAGATAAATATAACATTTACGTAATAGTAATAGTAATTGAATATCAATGTCTTACTTTTTTTTCTTTATTTCCTTCTTCACTTAATTCTTTTTCTTTTTCTTCTTGTTTACTGTCATTGACAACAAAACCTTGTTCACGTGCTTGTTTTAATACTGCTTTATCGATAAATATTAGTGTTGTTTTATTTTTATCACCTATTACGTGTAGACAAAAACGCTAATTAATTATTCAATCTAAAATTTAATTCATACCTTGATCTTCAACTCGAACATCGAATCCTGATAAATTATCATTTTTTATATGATAACCAAATGGAAGAATTTCTTTATTCGGAATTGAAATTGCTTCTGTACGTCCATCATCACGAGATGAAGCAAATTGTTCAACATATGGCGTTGCAATATCTTCTTCATTGATTGTTGATGTTTGATTTTCAGTTGATTGAGTAAAACCAATATCATCAGCATATGATACAGAAAAATTGAGACCAAATATATTTATTAAATCTTTAATATACGCAGCAATATTTTTTAATAAAATATGATTAACAGTTGAATTTTTTCTATTCATGTAATTATTTGCTGTTGAAATTAATTGATGAATGTTCTCCATGACTGATGATGTATCAATAGAATCGCATAATGCGAGATGAATTTGACTTTTCGTTACAGAAAAACATTTATCCAAGATAATATCATGTTCATCAAGTTTTGTATCAACATTTGAATCATTGAATTTTTGCAATGGACCTAAATGTGTTTGCATTCTAAGAAAAAAATCATCGAGCATTTTTTCATAATTTATTGCTTTTTGCAGTTCATGATCATTATAATCTCGTGTGGACGTCCATGAATGCAAAACACATAATAAACGAAGTTGTTTTGATGAATATACTTCAACTTCTTATTCATGAGTAACAGAATTTTTGAATGATTCTGATATTTTACAACCAGCAATGGTTAAATGACAACTATGATGAAAATAATAAAACCATGGTTCATTATTATGATAAGTTTTCGATTGGGCAATTTCATGATCATAATGAAGAAATTTTGAATCAATATCGCCAGTGTGAATAGAAAATTTTGAATCTGAAACATAAAGAATTGATTTCCATGGTTAATGAAAAATATTCATTAAGCAAAAATAATTCTTACTTGATACATTACCAGCTCTAACACCACATCCAATATGTTCACCTGGTCGACCAAGACTCCAGCCTGATTGCCAAACTGGTTCACCTTCATTACTTTTTCTCCATAAAACAAAATCACGTTTATGTTTTTTTTCTTTTCCTGTATTTTCTACTGTTTTTAATGCATATTCATCTTCACTTAATGGTGCAATATCATCGATTCGATCTGGCTCTAATTTAGCATATGAATCTTGTTGATGATATTTTGATGTATCAAAATAAACCGAACCATTTGATTCATATGCATTACCTTTCTTGATAATTTTTTCAATAAATTCAATGATTTGAGGAACATATTGACTGACACATGTGATAACAGTTGGAAATTTAATATGAAGATTTTTCATATAGTTAAAAAAATTTGTTTCATAATCATAAATTAATTTGAGAAAAACTTCATTATTAAGTGGATTTGTTGAAGCAGAATAATTGAAATTCAGATACAAGGAAAGAATGTCACAACAATCGTCAAATAATTTTTATAAGAAAAAAAAAAATGATTTTGCTCAATATTTTAAAATAGATTGAAATGAAAATTTTACTTTTCTTTTTCTTTCAATATTGGATAATGTACCAATATTCTGAAGTGAATTTTCTACTTTTAAAATTTGCCTGTCATATATTATTTGTTTATTTTTATTCACTTCATGTGAACGAAGATGTTTGACATGCTAAAATGCAGTTATCGATTTATCTTATTGTTCAATTTTACATCTTACTTGCAGTGCAAGTTGACAATCTTCGAGAATTTTTTCAATAGTCATTGAAGTATTATTCATATAATTTTCAATGAGATATTTTTCTCGAGCTTTTTTGATTATCTTCAAATAAGAAATCAATATGCGCTACAAAAATTGAACAGAAATAGATTTACTTCATCATCAATGTCGGTGAGATTCATACAATAATGAACATTATAATGAAAATAATCTGTTAAAACACGACGAATAATATCAAGTGAAATCAAGAATCTTAAAATAAGAAATGAGATAAAATAGAAAAATTTCGTTGTATTACCGAGCATGATCAATATCACATTCATCACGAACAATTGTATCGCAATGGTACCAGTTGACTTGTTTTGTGTCAATTGATAAAAAAAGTTCCTAAAAAAGCAATTTAATAGATTCAATGAAGATATGTGTATTCCGAATACTTTTTTTTTGGTGAAACTATTGTAAAGATGAAGTCGCGGTTCTGATGACATTTCAGAACATTTCAATTTTGTAGATGAAGATTGTTGTTTATCAGTGGAGGACATTTTCAATCGAGTTTTAATCAAAATGAGAAATATTTGATTTGATTTAAATCTAAAAAAGGATAAAAGAAAACGATAGTGTAATTGTTTGTCGAATTGTCCATCTTTTTCATCATACGTAGACTAGCTTATACAAATCATACATATGATGTTGTCTTTCCTCCATATATTATTTATTGTATTGGCCGTTAATCGAAACTACCTATATAACCAGAAATAATAATCGGGAGATGACAGTAGATGACAATAGAAATGCAAAACTAACATTTTTTCAATCTTGAAGATCAATTTAAGCTATTAATTAAAAAACATACCACTATCGAAAACTAAGTTTTCATTACTCTCATTAGAACTTGATATTACTATGAGAGTCAATTGAATTTCCCCTTTGATTTTTTGTTTGTTTTTATAACTATATTTATTTTATTTTTTAATCTACTAATTATATATAGAGAGAAAGCTCAAAATACGATGCATCTTTTCGTGTATTTATATTAAACATCAAATGTAGTTTAAAGGGTAAAAAATGTTTTAGAAAACCAAGTGGTATTCTTTTTCTTCCAATATACATTAACATCAATTATTCATTTGAAAATACAAGAAGCATGAGTATTTGTGAAATAACTCTTAATAGATACAATATATTGTTCTGCGAGTTTCACCATTCGCAAGAGGAGATGAATCTCTATCAAAGCTTTTATTTCAGGCTTTTCTGACAAACGTTTCTATAGTAGTCAGTCAAGTTTTTTAAAACACGACCATTTTTTCGTATGTTCAGCAAAGAAATACACCTTATCAACCTATTCAAGTCTTGAGCTTTAAAAAGCTTGACTGACTACTATAGAAACGTTTGTCAGAAAAGCCTGAAATAAAAGCTTTGATAGAGATTCATCTCCTCTTGCGAATGGTGAAACTCGCAGAACAATNTAGCACGTGATTTATTTTCCTAGTGACATACCAAAATAAATGCATATAAACAATAATGCAACATTTGATTAATATAAATGCGACAAAAACAAAAAAACGTCAAGAAATTGAATCATTAACAAAGAAACATTGGAAAGTATGTTTTTTTTTAAAAATCTAAAAAAGATTAAGGTAACTTTTGTATTTAATTGAAAAATGAATAAGTTTGAATTGTATTTGTGAAGTGTTGTTCGTATAAATAAAAAGTTCACACTGATATTTATTATTTGAAAAGAAAATAATTTATTAAGTTTTATAAATAATGAAGTTATAGAAATTTACTTTTTCAGTGAACTTTTAAAACATTCTGTAGAAGAGATCAGAGTCATTATGAAATATTATAATATAATTATATAGAGTTTGTCAAATTTTTTTTCTTTTTAATAAATTTTAACAAACATAAAGCACATTAAACGAATAATTAGATGATTTTTTCGACGTGATAAAACATATAGAGGAAACATTTAGGAAAAATATTCTTATTTTATTATGTTTTATCATGAAATACAAATGAAATAATATATATTTTGTAAGATCAATTTAGTATTCATTGATTCGAAGATCTCATATTCTTCCAAATGATAAATCTGAGATTAAAAGTCCAATAAGATATTGTTTTTTCAAAAACTAATAATTATTCAATAAATTTCGACTTTTTAAAACTGTTTCAAGTAATATTCTTCTTAATTTTTCATGATAATCTAATAAATCTGATAAATAAAAATTTATTTGTCATTTTAGTTTCGACACTCGAAGAATACTGTTAATGTGAAGAATGATAACGTTGATCTTAATCCCAATAAGGACATAGAGGTGATTGATCCCAACAAGGACATAGAGGTGAGTAAGATTTTAGGAAAAAGTTGATCATTTTTCTACATTGTGATTAGGAGGAAAATAACCATCAATGGGATCGACCACTCGAATTTGTCTTATCGCTGATTTCGAATTCAGTTGGTCTTGGAAATGTCTGGCGATTTCCCTATTTAGCAGCGCAGAGCGGTGGTGGTCAGTTTTAAATTGTTTATTCTCTTTTGTTTAGTTTTCAAGATTTTTTTAGGTGCTTTTCTCATTCCTTATTTTCTTCTTTACTTTTTAATCGGAGCTCCACTCTATTATATGGAATTAGCTCTTGGCCAATTTACAAGTCGAGGTCCAGCTTCAGGATTTGTTTTTGCTAAAGGATGGCAAGGTAAATATTTCAATACTCTATTTTCTTTAACTATTGTTGTTTGTTTTTTTCTTTTTTTCTTTTATAGGTGTAGGCTTTGCTATGATTATTAATAGTATATTGGGTACTTTATACTACAATGTTATAATTGCTTGGGCTCTCTTCTACTTTATTCTTTCGTTTCGCAAAACACTCTTGTGGAGTGATTGTGGTCATTGGTGGAATACAGATAAATGTTTTGTACCCGGTGCTCAAGAAAATACTTTAGGAGGAAATAATACAGGATTAAATTGTACAATGGCACTGATTGGTAATTTATCCGATGATGGATGTCAAGAAGTCAACACCACGGGAAAAGTGGCAGCCACTGAAGAATTCTTTTAGTAAGTTTTTAGCTAAAGATAAGATCATTTTCTTTTTGTCAACTTTACCATTGTAATAAATTCTAATAGAAGAATTTTCCAGTGTATTCTCAATAACATAGATTAAAATATTTTTATTTTTATTTCTAGTCGACTTCTTTTGAATAAAAGTGCAAGTTTTGACGAATTCGGTGTTCCGGGTACTTACATGTCTATTTTATTGCTCGGATCTTGGATTATTATTTGTTTGTGCATTTTTCGTGGTGTTCAATCATCGGGAAAAGTGAATTTTGTTTTCGTTTTGACTATACTCTTATTAATCATTATTTTAGGTTGCATATTTCACGGCTATATTTCCATATATTGTTCTTCTTGTACTTATTATTTTTACTGCAACACTCGAAGGAGCTGGTAAAGGTATTCGATTCTATATAGTACCACGATGGGAACTAATCGGTGATTTCCAGGTAAAATAATGATCATTAATATTTAATTAAAGAAATAGATGAATATATTAAATAATACACGAAAATGTCAATGAAAATAAAAAATAAATCGATCCTTTTTTTCTAAGATAAATTGAATAAAATGATTTTATTTTAGATATGGCAAGCAGCAGCTTCACAAGTTTTCTTCTCTTTGAGTATCAGTTTTGGTTCACTTATTGCTTATTCAGCAGCGAACGACTTTCATAATAAGTTTTTTCAGTAAGTAAAAGTAGATATTATTTATTTATTTTATTTGTCAAGTTAAATTCTGATCAAACAAATAATAATCCAAGATCCGAGCAATAAAACAGACATGTAAGTACCCGGAACACCGAATTCGTCAAAACTTGCNATACAAGTCAAAATAAAGTTTTATTAAAAGAAAAAAAGAAAAAAAATGCTGAGATTTTATAATAGAGAAAAAGAAATGTGATGAATATCGAATGATTAAGAATGAGAAGTATTTAAAAGATCTTGTTGTTCTTCTTCCTGGTCTTGTTGAATCAATAGAGATTTGTTTTCTCTGAATTTAATTAAAAATAAAATAAGAATAAGAACAAATGAAATGAATTTAATAATAATAGTTGTTGCAAATAATCTCATTCGAAGTTCATCACCGTTATAGATAAAACATGAAGTCCGATGATGAAATGTTGATTGAGACTAAAATAAACATTGATCATCAAGAATTATTCCAAATAAAATAGGTGTTGGAATTTGTGAAAGAAGTTTCACATTACAATTTTCAAAACCTAAACTAAATGATTGAAGTTCATGTCGTACTGAACGTCAAATAATTATTAAATGTGGTGTTACCATTAACGTTTCAAAATATGTTACAAGAAATAATACTAGAAAAAATAATATTAATTGAAATAAACAAGAATTTTTATATGAACCTTCAAAAACTTTATCATCTAATGATAAACATCTACAATTTGCATATTACTTTTGAAAAATAACCAAATTATTCATTCAAATAGTAGAAGAAAATAAATAATTAATCTTACTTTTCCATTAACAGTTGTACAGAGTGCATAATATGGAAAAAGATACGTTATACTTTCTTGATAACAAATTGGTTGATAAATATATGGAGAACAATTACACAATAGAGAACATTTTGTATCATTGGAATATTTTCTATTTGATTTACATTTAAGAAAAATAAGTGAGAAAAGAAATATTAAAGATATAAAACAACATATTAATATTAATTTAATTGATTGATAGATATTCATATGAAAACGACAAATCAAATATCCTCCTGTTATTGTTCCAAATATAGCTGCTGGAATAATAATCGAACCAGTTAATATATTTGATAACGATAACGATAATGAAATATTAAATATTGATTCAATATATTTAACTATAAACGTTGTTAATGATACAATTAAAATCTATTTTTATTTCATATTCAATTTTGTTTTTTAATTTTTATTTTTAAAACTTACATTTTCTATTGAATTAATTAAAACAATTAAAATATATGTTAAATTCATTATAAGATCATAGATAGATTTAAATATTTCTAATAAAATACATTGAATTAAGAAAACAAAAAGACAATATCAAAAGAAAACTAACTTTTAATTGTTGATAACTGACATAAAGAGTGAGTTTTATGAGATTGATTTGATTGTATTAGTTCATCATTATTGCTTTCTTCGAGTTTAGATGGAAATGTAAAAAGAATCAATGATAATAATATTAATAAAAATGATGATAAAATAAAACCAGCCCATCAACGTCCAATCATTTGAGGATCAATTTTTGTTATTCCATCAAGATTTTGATTTTGACCAATATTTATCCATTCAGATAAAAATAAAAAACCCATTAAAAAACCTAATAGCAGATCCTAATGCTATTATCCCATAAAATATACCTTGAATCAAAAAATGTCTTAAAGATTAATTTTTTTCAATAGTAATAAACACATAGTTGTATAAATAGGTTGATCATCTTTATTAAGATGATCAGTTAAATATGTTATTCCTAATGTATAAAATGGACTTGCACCAATTGACATAATAATCATTGATAAAATAATCATATAATATGTCCATAATGGTTGAATTTCAATTAAATTATTATTAAAAAATAGAAAAATATTTTCGAAATAATTTGTTGAATTATCAATTATTTGTTTATGATAACCATTTATAAAATAAGGTAAAATAAAAATAATATTTCCAATTGCAAAAACAAAAGATCCTATAGCAACAATTTTTGCACGATTATATTTTGAAGCAAAATATGATATTAATGGAATTGATAAAACACCAGTTCTATCATAACTACTAAATACTATTCCTAAACGTTCACTTGAAAATCCATAATAAGTTTCAATTGATGATACTATCGAACCGATATAGCCAGATGTTATCATTGATTGACATAAAACAATTAAACATAGCAATAATAAATACCATGGAATTGTCCAAAACAGAAATTTTCTAAATTTATACAAAAATTATTTGATTTATTATGTTTTTTTTTACCTTTGATCATTTGTATTGGTGATTTCTGTATTGTCATCTTCCGACATTTCTATTTAGATTTAAACTAAAACAATTGATAGAAGATTTATTTTTTTAACATTTGTAAATTGTTTCTTTTGCTACGATTATTAACAAATACACATTCGTTCATTAGTAAGGTTCTCCTGCAGTTTATTCACACCATTACACTGGTTGATAGATTGAACACAGCAATTCATATGAGGGTGTGGGTGTAGGTATGACTAATCTGCAGTAGTACCATTAATGCTTGTTGCAGTGATGTCGCATGTATACATCTTTAGTTATGTATCTTCCTCTATCATCTTTCATCTCTTTTTCATTTTTAATTGGTGTCTCTTCTTTTCGTTCTTCTTATATACATATGTATGTTATTCAATCATTTCAGTCCTTTTTGAAATATAGTTAAGTGCAAGTATATCGAGGCACATAGACATGTATACTTATACATATATCTAGGTACAAACATGAAAGATAAAGGATCCTAACAAGGCTTGATATACTTTGTCGTTAAACATCATTTAATGAAAGAGTCTTCTATAATCTATAATACTTTCTTTTTTAGATGACTACAATTCCATTTCTTCCAATCGTACACTACATATATTCTGGTAAATATCAAAGCAAAGGTGAAAAATTATTAACTCCGTTTCATTGGCTAATGATTCGTAATGGTTATCAAGTAAAAGTTGGGAATAGTGTAAGAAATAAAGTTAGATAAAAATAGCATTTGTATTTTATATTTTAGAAATCTCAATTGTTTTCTTACAACAAAAATAACCGTGGTGAAATAAAGATCATATATGCAAAAGCCAATAAAAATATACCGTGTGTTTTTTTCGAAAAAAACAACAAGTTTCATATTTTTAACCAGGTAAGAGCACTCAAATAAAACCGATAACTCTTTTTTTCATTTAGGACTTTACCAGTGGATCGATCGAATTAACAATCGAAGATTATTTTAATATCGATGGGTATGTGATCGAATATTTTCCCTTTTCTCAACTATTATTTGTTTTTAGTGAATTCATTAATTTACCACAGTTATTCGATACTGTTGAATTAGCCATGAGTGGCACTCTTGATGAAACACAAGCACAAGCAGAGGTTCGACCAGGTACATCAACTTATGCACAAGGTCCACCAATTTAGCCCAAACGTGCATCAACTTTTGCGCAAGATACACCAATTTATTCACAAGGTACATCAACTTATTCGCAAAGTCCATCAATTTATCCACACGATTCACCAACTTATTCACAAAGTTTATCAACTTATCCACAAGATACACCATTTTATCAAGAAGAATTTTTACTTGGTCAAGCAGGTGGATTAATTGATCCTCAAGCTGAAGCACGTCATCCACAAGATTCGTCATTTGATCAATGACGTCAACTAAATGGTCTATCGTGATCAAATACGAAATAACAACATGTAGCTTGGATAGGTTTTTATCATTCTATTTTATATTAGATGGAAAATGTCCATTTTTATCTGAAATAAGACAAAATAAAAAAGTAAAGTATAGTAAAAGAAATAATAGTTGGTATTTATTAAAAGATCTTTGATGAAGAATAACTAAATGAAAAATAAAAATATATAACAGCAAAACAGACGACTTACATGAGGTCAATACCGATAGAAAGAAGTTTTGTAATATCTTCATTCTATACAACCAAATTCGTGACAAAAAAAAGAATCTCTTCTTTTTTACATGAGCTAACTATAAAAATAAAATAACTGCTTAGAGCAATAATTGCATTCATCGGGCAATAATTAAAAATGTGTTGTTGCTAATATGATCCGATTAGACTAAAGATTTATATACATATTATTTTTCCCTAATGATTAATAATATATTATTCATTGAATGACCTTAATGGATCAGTGACTAAATCTCGAACGTAAAAATGTCGAAAATTCAAATCCTTTTTGATCACAGATTTCACTCTCACACGTACTTAGTTGCCATGACAAATTCTTTTTTTTAAGTCGGCTGACTGCACAAAGTACAGACAGTAGCCGACTTAATGCTTTCGACTTGCTTAGTTGCCATGGTAAATTCTTCTTCTTCTTCTCAACACATGAGTCACGATTCAAGGGTGTGGGTGTGGGTGTGGGTATAAGAAAAGATAACATCCGCATCCACACCCACACCCCCCATAAACTGTTTTTTTTTAAAGAGAAACTTGAGATTTTTAGTGTAAAACGTGCGCATGTTAAGTCATTAAAAAGTCCTTTGGCTGCTGAGAACGTTTTATTTTTAAATGACATTGTTAAAAAATTTCGGAGTTTTTCGGAGTCGGAATCGGAGTTGGAATCGGAGTCATAAAAAGAAAGATTTTGGGATCAGAGTCGGGTTTCGGAATGAAAAAAGTTGACTCCGCAGGTCTCTACACTTCACACTCACCCACACCCACATCCACACCCACCTCGTCACGCCTTGACTTCCCTGACCCTTCCTTGACTTTCTCCCATTGTTCATAAAGTTCTTTTGAAAACTTTGTGTTTGTTGACCATATGTTTATCTGAATTTTGATCTCGTTTTCAGGCAGGAAAACAAATTTTTTGTCAAATGTCACTTGATAGACTTTTACTATTTTTACAACTAAGTATTCTTTGTTATGAGTTTTGAACAGATTAGTTATTGCTTTGGAATTATTTAAATTGACATTTGAGTTTTTAGCTGATGTATCAACTGATGATTTTGACGAAGGTGAAGATGATAACACCGAAATCAAATGGTAATCATTCTTGTTTAACATATGACCACAATAGTTAAAATGAAATGTATAAATCTTAAACAGATTTTTGATAAAAATATTAATAGGGAATAATGTAAGACTATAGATAATTTACCAACAAACCAAAACTTATTTATTTTATTTCTCTTTTTCTATTGTAACTGTCAATCAGATATAACGAACAATAAGCGTTCATCTAATCGTGCTCCAAATAATTTTAATTTCAACGCTGAAGCACGATGAAATCTATCACAACAATTTTGTATGATTTATTGCAACAGTTGTACTATACCCATACAAGTTTTGAGTGTGAAGCTGAAGAACGAGCAAATTTTCTGAGAATCTGTCTCACATTGCCCTGCCTCGACCTAAACTATATTTTGATTCCCCGCCCCGTCTCATCCGACATAAATTAGTTTTTGCCTCGCCGTTCCCGCCTCGCCCCGTCATTTCACCCGAACTCTCTCCCCTCCCCTGTCCCGTTTCGATCTCTGATGTATACGTAAAAATATATATTTATGACAAAGAAACTAGTATGAAATACATTGTATTGTAATGAGATATGTTCTAAAAATAATAGTATATATAGTGTCCAAATTTCATTTGAACATTCATTGAATTCGATTAAAATCTGTTTTATATGATTGTAGTCGAGAATGATTTGGAAGTAATAATTGTTTTTCAATGACAATAGCCTGTCTATAAGAGTAGAAAGCATTTGTGTAATTACCTATTCTTTCATACATTTGACCAATATTGTTATGTATAGTTGACAATATGGCTCCTTTCGGATTAGGAGATCTCTCCAAGTTTCTTAACGCTTCTTTATAGAAGTCGAATGCTTTAAGAGTATTTCCCATTTTCTTATAGATTTCTGCGATTTCGTTACAAATCATAGCCAATTCTAAAAAGTTTACCGGAAAAGATTTTCTGAAGATGCCGTGCGCATATTGATAATGTAGAATTGCTTCTGTATAATGTTCTATTTTTTGATGTACTTTAGCAATATTTTTATGTGTATCAGCTATTGTTGATCTATCTAAACGAAGACGATGCTGTTGAATTTTTAATACTTTTCGAAAAAGTTTCAATGCCATGCTGTATTCTTTCATGTTGTAACGCATTTCAGCAATATTTTCGTAGGTTATCGACAAATTTAAATAATTAAAAGGAATAGACTTTTTATAAATACTTAATTTTTTTTCATAGAATTTTATTGATTCTGAATAATGTCTCATATGTTTATGTACCTCACCAAAGTTGCCATACGTAGTTATTAAATCTGAGTGACTTAATGGATTAGATTTTATTTGTATATCAAATGCCATTTGATGAAATTTCAATGCTTGTGAATATTCTTGTTTATGAAGATATTCAGAGCCAATATCATTGTAAAGTCTAGTAATATTTAAATGATTCGAACTGGGCAATGATTGATAGATTTTCAATGCTTCTTCGAATAAAATAAGTGCTTCTTCATGATCATCTTTATTTTGCTTGACTGATCCCATTAGATGATAAAGATGGGCACGTTCTTCCAAATCATTTTCGGATGAATTCTTAATAAGTATTTCGAAGACTTCGCTGGCTTCATCAAAATTTCCCATATTCAATAACAGTTTACCTATTCGATTCCATCCTGTTGATCCTTTTGTTGCTTCTCGAATGTTGTCAGCAAGTTTCTTTAGATCCATGTCTTCATCAGTTGTCATTGAGAGTTCTACTTGCCATAACTGATGTTCGAGTTGATTTATTTCACCAACTCGAAATATACTATGCATGGTAAATAAGCATTCATCTTCTGTTTTATAGTAGCTTTCTGCACTCAACGAAGCAAATAATGCACTTGTAAGAGAGTCAGGATCAATATTTATATGAAAAATAATACTTATCAATTCAGGATTATCTCGATTACTTCGAGCATATGTAAGAGCTACATCTCTATTGGTGGTTGTCGATAAGAATTGATGAAATGAATACAGACCACCTTGTTGCGAACGTAACTGCTCAAAATCTGAGTACAACATTCCTTGACCTCGATACAAGATCAATTTTTCAGACGGTTGTTTGTATAATTGTACTATTTGTTTATGTAGTTCTCGTATAAGAAATCTTATTTGTATAATAACATTAATCTCTTTTAATCGTAATGATTGATTAATCATATCATAAAGAAAACAACCACGAGTGTACCACCAGATGGGTGAATAGATATCATAATTTTGTTCTAATTCATCTATGATTTTCATTCTACCGAAGTTATTCATATTATTTATTCGACAAAATTGAATTAATTCTTTTTTTGCTTTATTATCATCTTCCATATCAAAAAGTACTTCTTTCAATAATTTTGTATACATAAAAGATGAATCAAGACGATTTAAATCTATACTAGTAATACTAATTGAAAAAGACTCACAACGACGCTTTTGAGTCTCTTGTTTGACTTTTTCATAAAGTTTATCGATATTTTTAAAAATACCTTTTATCTTTGTCCAATCTTTTATCCATTGTTTATCTTTTGGCATAATTTTGCAAAATATGAAGATAGCATCAATTTGAGATAAATTATGAATATCAATAATTGTTAATTTATCTATATCATTCGATAAAATCAAATAAATCGTTTCATCTGTTTTCATATGAAGAAAATTCATGCATTCTTGATAATTTCTAAATAGATTAATTGTTGTATGAAAAGCTTGTTGAAGCTTACTTATCGACTGTTCATAGTCTACAATGGATTTCATATCATTCGAACATAACCAAACGAGTATAAATGGATGAAGAAAGTGCACTTGCGATTGTGTAGTTGAATACTCTTTATCTGAGGTTGTTTTATCGGTACTTTTGAATGAAGTTGATGTTCGTTGAGTATCTGTAGGAAGTCTTGCAGACGAAGCAGGTTGTTCATTGAATGATACTTTTTTCTTTGGATATTTATCACAGATTGGTGGTAGTCTCTTTTTGTCATTAGCGATCGAACTATTCTTTTTCAAAGTAGAAATCAAAGTTCGCTTTTTAGAAGTGATCGGTGGTAATTGCTTTCTATTCACGACTATGCATCTGTGAGTTCTAGAGAGTATGCCTGATTTACTAACGTTTACTGTTTTCGTTACATTAGTCGCGGACATAGAACTTAATCTTTTTGAGAAAAGTGGCTCCAATTTGAATTTTTTGACATGGATAAGAATATTTCTTTCGTCGATTGAAATAGATTTCGTAGATGATATGAAATTTGTTCTCTCCATTAGAAAGCAGCCAAGATTGTCAGTTCAGACACTTGATAGAAGTACTTGTGCAGTGTGAGCTAAAATAATATTGAATGATAGAAGAACCTTATATTACAACGAGATCTTTTTTCATAAAGAGACTTAATATGTATGACAGTGTCCTTTCGAAAGAAACTGACACTTAACAGAATGTCCACTGCAAGACTATCCTAAACCGCTAAACAGAATTTTTTTTTCAATTTTGTTTCTCAGAACGAAAGATCTGCTCGAATCATAGGCAAATCCAACATATTAAACTTGTTAATTGTCCTGAGAAGAACGCGAGCTAAAAAAATATCAAAAGTTTATTATGGTTATTGAAAATCACAAAAAAACAATATGTTCATTAGTTTAGTATTATCTTACGAGCAATTTAATCGTTTGAGCTTTGGGACATAATGTTTATTTAATTTAAGCCAAATTACACCAACTTAAATTCAATTTAAAGGTGTTTAAATGAATTTAAATTGGAATTAAATCCATTAGAATCCATATGAATACATTTGCATATGATTCAGATCGATGGATATTTATGTAAACTAATTAAAATAGGCTCAAGTTTGAATTTAATTGATTAAAATTCGATTAGAAGTCGTATGAATTCAATTTAAGTAGGTGTAGATTCATTTAAATTCAATTTAAATCTAAAATAAATATAATTTCGTAAATGTGAATCGAAAAGATTTTACATTTTCATGATAAAGAAATTTAAATTTTCAACAATTTATTTTTGAATTTAATAAATATTTGTAAATGTAAACTGGATACTTCTACTCGTTAGATAAAGAACAGTATAGAATACTACTTTCTCTTATGTCATTGATGAACAAAAAGAGTAAAAGAAAGCACTACAGGTAAAACAAAAAAGAAGTACTCAAAACTCAAGCTTTTAATTCTTTCGAAATAATAGAATTTTGAATTTTTCTTGAGTAGCACATGATATCCTACAGTTCATTTTTTTTAACTAGACTGAAGTCTCTCCAACATATTTCTTTTGACATCAGATTATTTAACGAACAAAACTTAGAGTACTAATTTAGAATGAGACATACTATAGTTTTTCATACATAATGACTGTTGCTTCTGATCCTGAAAGTTATAAAATAGATTTCAAAATTTAAAAGTAGACTTCAGATTCATGTTTAGCTCACGAAAGTCGATCGGATAAATTACTTTCTTTTGCTTTTCCATTATATTTAATATAGTCTACATCGAACAATTTGAACTCAATCTATGGATGCACCAGTCTCAGTAACAGTGTGACTTACTTAATTGTTACTTATTTAAAGTTTACAGTAGTATTTGATTGTTTTGTTCTTATACAGTAAAATTGCATTAGCTTTATGCTATAAAAATACTGGTCAGTAACGATGTTTTTTTTTGTTCACTAACTGATTTCTTATTAATGCATGCATAAATCCCTATTAGTTAACACAGAATATATTCTTCTCTTTATAGCGGTGAGAAGTTATATTTATCAAGTAATGAATAATGGGTATCAAGGAATTTGTGTTTCATTTTGTAACTAATAAAATAGTTTTATGAATAACGAACAGGTTTTCTATAGAATTTGATTAAAAGATAACAGAATAATAGTGACTTAACGAAGAAGTCTAGTTTATTGTTGCGAAAATTCAACCATAAATCCCAATTCCTCGATACTTAAAGATTTTGATCAAAATTTATAAAATATTATTTGCTCCCCAAAACAAAGCTCTCTTTAGTATTAAAAAAACACAAATATACGAGTTTTCTATTATGCTCTACTCATTACTTTTTAATAAAGTCTTCCTATCCCTATAAACAGAAGAATATGTTCTGAATGATAACTAATAGTCATTTAAGTATGCACCCGTAGTTTTTTAAGCATTAGGTTGATGTAATTGTATTGAGTAAAAAAACAAATAAATACTACTGAATGAACAAAATAAGTACCAATTGATCCAATGATCAAGATGATGAGTACATCCTAAAGATATAGAGAAACATTATTTGATGAGTAATTCATGTATATACCGCATGATATAGAGTTCGGATTGTATCAGTAGATAGCACTTTGCGAAAGTTACAAAACTGTTTATTTATCTAACTCAAAAAAGACTTGAATAAGGTCCTGGTACATCACAGTTGGGAGTGATTCTTTAATTTTTCGACCCATAATCAGAGATTTTTCATTAGAAAACAACAGTTTTAGTAAAAACTTATATTATATCGGAAATCATCAAGAAGAACTGAATCGATTTATATATACTGGAAATATTTCTGAAGCTTTGTTTTTTTTTATGCATCCCAAGTTCTCTTAAAGAAGTTGGTCGAAATGATGTCTGCTAGTAAGACCGTCGGCAGACGGCCAAGTTTTTACTATCTACCAAAGGTCAAGCAATTTAGATAACAAAGGCAAAACTTCGAATGATTAATTTCGCGCGACGACAACAATAGCTCATCATTTTGCTTGCAAGTTTTCCGCATAATCTGAAAATTATAAAGTTTACTTTTCTGATTACAATCTATTATGGATTAAAACACATATTCGAGTTAAGGAAAACGCACTCTATATGACAATATCTCTATTCTCCTGTCTAACATTAACTTCAACCTAATAAACAGTCATTTGAATATCAATTTTCACATTATTCACAGATATACAAGAAAAATGAGTTAATTATTGATACTTAACAAAATTGTATGTTTTTCAGCAGTGTCACATATCCAGAAGGTCGAAGAAACTGGGGAAATGCATAGAGATGCGAAAGATACAACTCCTGGAGCGACGCTACATCTCCCAGCATGTCTCGATGAGAATTTTTGCTACTTTTATGTTTTAACTCATGCGAGAGATTCTGGGAAGTGCCAATGGATGAGACGCCAGATCTTTCGCACTTCTCTCCAGATAGATGCGACGTCGCTCACAAGTGTGGTTGCAGTAGTAGGTGTAATGGTCGCGTCTATTTGTAGTCAACCTGGTATGTCTTGCATTGATCTGCGCTTCTTCAGCTTCCTTGATTTGCCGGATATGTCACAGGGTTCATGTTTTTTTTAAAATGATCTTTCTAACGATAACTAAAATGTAAGTATTAAATATTCTACAATGATACTTTAGATAAAAAAAAGGTCGCCTTCTCTTTCATGTTTTTTTTTGTCTACTAAGATAAAATTTCGTAATTTCATTGAAGAATGAAGTAATAACAGAGTCGACAAGAGAAACTAAATGAAAATCGATGATGCAAAATGCGAATATATCGATAGCTTTGAAATGTATTCATTTCAAAATTTTCTTTGAGTGATTCTTATTTCTCAACCTTATATATTATTACATACGAATGTGTCACTTGATCAATGTGGACTTTGTTCGATAATACAAAAAGTGCATTCACCTTGCTTCTTTCTTCCTTTGAAANTTATGCTATCAGAAAGATTGACAAGTATTTATTGATATTCTTCATTGGCGAGTTTAACTGGGATAACGAGTATGCTGACAACAAAAATATCGTTGAACTGTGACCATTGTGAGCGTCGGCTCAATGAAAAAGATTGTGAGTTAATCTTTCTGAATCATCCAATTAGATCATAACAACAGATGATGTATTAAAATAACAGCATTTGGATTTTTCAGGGTGTGCGTAACAATATTTTTCGGCAATGGGCAATTGGTATCATTTTAAAAAAACTATGGGCCATTACTTTTAAATTGCTGGGCAATTGCCCATTGGCCCTACCCCTGGCTACGCCACTGATCTATAATCTTTCATTATTTAACAATGTGAAAAAAAAAGGTGAAATTATAATATCTCTGAAAACATGCCGATTTCCATGTAAAAAAACAAGCCTGGAAATCGGATTAAAACCGATTTTCGAGAGAAAAATCGATTAAAAGTGGCAAATTCTGATTAAATTCGAGTCGAGAATCGATAATAATCGATTTTACTGAGTAAAAATCCATTAAAATCGATTAATAAAGTAATTGCGCGATCTCAATTGAAACAGTTTATATACCAGTTCCAACTTTAATGTATTTATCGAGTTCCAGCCTTATAGTTTATGTCAGTGATGAATGAAAAAATTATGGTTCCACGTTCGAATCTCGAGAAAAACACATATCTCCGATGAATATGATTAAAATCGATTATCAAGTAGGAGTAATTTACAATTCAAAAACCGGTAAGATCAGATTAAAATCAAGAAACAAGTAAGAATAGAATAAAAATCGATTCAGAAATAATGATAGATTAAAATTGATTCAAAGCTATTCATGTAAAGAATGGGAACGATCTGATTTTAATTGATTTCTTTCTGATTAATAATCGATTACGCAGTGAAAAATCCTCAAAAACCGATTTTTATGATTAAAAATCGGATAAAAAATCGTGCCATTTTAATCGATTATTAATGAGAAAAAATCAATTAAATATCTGATTTTTCTCGTCATTTTTTTTTACATGGGTTAACTTCAGTGTTATCATCTGATAAAAAATATCTACCAAAAATCATATTTAAAATCTTCTGCTCAATGAAACTGTATGTTAAAAGAAAATGTTTGAATGGATTCAACTAGAAATATTTGCGGAAAAACTTTCCCTGTACATTTTATCGTATAGAATTGATATTTTCTAAACAATAAAATCTAGATAATTAATCATGTTTTTATAATTATTATGAAATATGGAGTTTTTATTTAATCTGAAAGTGTGAATGAAATCTGAACAACACTTGATGAGTTACAGAACAAACAAATTGCAAAATATCGTTCTACTAAATGAGTGAATATACTACACTAGTTTTTTAAAATATTATTCATTATTTGAAATATTGATTTTCCATTCAAGTCTTTCCTATACTACAATAACGATAATCTTTGTATCACG